GAAGAATGATTTGGAGAAAACTGTCAACAAATGCTCCTTTTCACTCCCCGCCCCCCACCGCCCTTTTAAAAGTGTTTAAATACCAAGTGCTATAAATGCCACTTACTGTCACACTTTTAGCATTGGAGATGCTATTTTGAAGCATGGTTTTAGTTCTGGTTGGGTTCAGTTTGTGGTCTGTGTGACATAGTTTTCCCAAAGGTTATAAAGTGGGTTAAATTTCAGAAATTCAAATTGATTCAGTGGTTGGTAATGAGGAACTTATTAACATCTAGTGGGGGTGAGTGGGGACATTGGTCTTCATTTTTATTCTGGTTTCCTTTCTACTTGTATAGGCAGCTCTGTGGTGATAAATCCTGTGCTATACCTGTTTTAGAAACAAAAATGTAAAAACCACCTCACTATTATTAAAGCTCTGAACGTAAACAGCAAAGTCAATTTCATTATAGCAACATAATTGACCTGGGCTGCACTAGGTAAAATGTGAATTAAGATTCTAAATGCATAGCTGTTGTTTGACATGGATGAGGTTGTTTTATTCCTTGTGGGTTTTCAGTATCATTAACTCAGGGTTTGGTGTTTGTTTTCCTCATCTCTTTCCCAGCCTATTCAAACTGTTTGGGTAAGAATGAGTGCATTTATCTGCTCATGCCCCAAACTAAACCTTTCCCTAATCATCTCTGCGGCACCAGAACAGTCCATAAAAGTTCCCAGTGTCACTCTTTCCCCAAATTGTTTTGTAAAATGTGAAGTTGCTATTTGTTTTGAATTGTTAACTGGAGTCAGCATAAGCAGCTGCTCATTTTGGGGGCTGTGACAAGGTACTTCAAGGAGAAAGGACAGGGAAGAATTGAATACTGAGAAGTACTTTTAGGTTTTAAACAGTTTGGCAAATCCTTTGGCATATTAGAACATGGATTCTAACATAATGGGACAGCATTCTAGCTTAGACCTAGACCAGAACTTCTCAGTTTCAGCATTACTGACATTTTAGGCTTGTGAATTCTCTGTGATGAGGGCTGTTTTGTGCATTGTACGGTGTTGAGCAGCATCCCTGGCCTCTACCTATTGGACGCCAGTAGCACTTCTCCTCCTCTCTCCCTCCCAGCTGTGACAACCATAAATATCTCTAGATGTTGCCAAATGTCCCTGGGGTGGGGGGAAAGGGTGTCAATATTGCTTTGTTTGAGAACCACCTGTCTAGATTGATACATATTGCCTCAAACCACCACTGTTCATCAAAAATGCCTTTTCTGATAGCCTTGTAAACTGTTTTGCTTGTGTGTTCTGTGGTTATAAATCTATAGCCAATAACGTAAAAAGAAAAAAAAAGGTTTACTAATTAGTGCAAGCTGATGAATGGGTAGAAGGTTGAGTTTTCCCAGCCTTGCTGTCATGTTGAGAAACATTTTAGTTTCCCCGATGACTTGGGCAGGTTTGGGTCTATGGAGGACTGATGCGTGTAAATTCCCCTAATTGGCAGAGCCGTTGAGTTTTTTGAGGTGGTGTTGGCTGTAAAGCAGTGTCTTTTGTCCTAACATGTATTTTTGAGTAGCATTCATGTTTTTTCCTTTTAGTGAAGGTGATGGGTATTAGGTTGTCTCAGGTAAACTGTGGGGAGGAAAAAAACAAACAAGCATGTTCTTTCAAGAACACATGGGACAGGTCAGCTGCTCTTTTGGAGTCAGCTGTTTTAATCTCCTGGACGTGGGCCCTCTGTTCATTTCAATGAATATTTGATCTTACAGACAACACTTCTTATGTACTAAGCATCTTCTGAGAGAAGCCAGAACTATCTATGTTTCAGCTTGATTCTTCCTTATCAGCTTCCTTGGAAGAGAGCTAGAGTGAAAGATGTTTTCATTTCTCATGTGTAGGGTGTTGGGAAGTGGAGACTGGAGAGATGGCACTTGTGAGTTGTAAATCTCAGAACAAATTCCCATCTGTCACTGCTGCCGAGGCTGCATTGTGGAGATCATTTTATTTCCCAGTAAACATCCAACAGTGAAGTGGATTGTCTCTTGGTGTTCTGTGTCGCGTGCCCTCAGGAGTGTCTCCTTACCTGGGAAGGGAGAAACGTGAAGTTGTCAGTGGAGAAAGAGCTTGCCTGCTTCCTTCTACCGCTTGGTAACCCTGGGTCTGTCCCTGACTCCTTGTGAACATGCCTGGGCTGCTGGGGTCACAGGAGAGATGCTGTTGAAGGGAATGAAAGGTTTTCAGTCATCATTCTGGCTGAAAACCCAGGGCAAGCCACTCTTTCATCTGTGAAATGGGAGCCGTGCTTCCCGCCCTCCCTCCGTCTGGTGTGTTCTAAGCTGAGGCCAGATAAGGAAGCTGGAATCATGATCTAGGAGCTCTGCGTGGCAGGATAAAGAAGCAGCATCTGAGGCAGCAGGCTCGTGTTTTCTGGGTCTGCAGCATCTTCAGTAACTGTGATTCATCCTCTTGCTGTCACCTTAAGTATTCCTTTCATTTTGTGAGAGAATGATGCTTTTTTTTAAAAAGGTGGAGGAAAGCGCTTTGAAGATGGCCACGCTAAGGCCGGAAGAACCTCACTGTCTCTAATAACAGACTGTCTTCGGGGGCCTGGTCATCTAGAGCAGGGCAGAGGTGGGTGCCTGCGGCTGGTGTAAGCTGCTGGGTAGCTAGCTCTGCTGAGAGCCATTTGCCCAAGCGTTGGGCTTAACCTTCCAGGCCTGCCTCACAGCTGAAGCACGGCCCCTTTATTTTGTAAGCCCCGTCTTCTTTTTAGTAATGGAGAGTGCTTTCCAGTTCATCTTCCTGAAAACCAAGTCGGCTTGGGCAGAAAATTCCCTTGTCTAGCGTCTTCAAATGTCACCTGAGACTGCCTTTACTCTGACACAAAATCCCACATCTGGGTCATTTTTTGGTGACTCCATTTGGGGGGGAACTTTAAGGGGGGTAACTAGGAGGTGTGGGGTGCAGGCAAGAGTGATAGGGTTGTATCCTCCACCCTGTAGTTAACGTCCTTCCCCTCTGCCTAGCCTCGCTCATCTTCTTTAATCAGTGCTGCTCTTAATTACCCCACTGCACCCACTTCTGTATGCATCACTGCCTTCCCCCGCATCAGCCGGACATAGCTCTCAGTCTCCGAGTAATGATAGTAATCGCTGATAGGGCAGACCTGTTCCTCATCCTTCTCTGAGCACATTTCTTATGGCAGGTGTCTAGTTCCTAATTAAGTGCTAATGAGCATGCCTAGTGGACCGTGATGCCTCTGCCAGCTTCTTCAGTTTTATGTCCTGCTATTGCTGAGCTCTTAAAAGGTGACAGAGCAGGAATTAGTGTCTTTGGGATGACAGGAAGGTGATTTTATGCATAAAGAAATTGTTATTATGATCTCAAATGGTGAATGAGTAGTTTATAAATACTTTCCAAGAATACTATTAATGTTGCTCTCTCTGACCTCCCTCCCTTTGCCAGTTTCCTTCTCATTAGAACTGTGCTCTCTTTGGAAGGAATGGAAGTTTAAAGAAGTTGGCTTCTAAAGATTTTTAAAAAGATACTAGTGGGGTTGAAAATTCACTGTACGATAACTGTAGACACTGATTTCTGCCTTTTAGCTGCTGCTTGCTCTTGAGGGCTGGAAACCTGTTTAGTATTCAATCAAATATCAGTAGTTGGGGTGGAAATTACTGAAGATCTGGCATAAAGATCTAATATATTCAGTACACGCAAGGGGGTAATAAATAAAACGAGTAATTGAGTCCCAGGGAAGTGAGCACAAATCAGAATCTTAAGAATTTCCTAACATTACACCTTAGAAATTGAGCTTTAATCGTTTTTACTATCTCATCAAAAATGAGTTTTATGTTGGACAGCTGAAATGCAGCCAGATTTATGGTGGAGGGGCCATTTCTGGGATACTCTTTCATTTCCTCTAGTGTGTCTTAAATATAATATATGAGAGCAATGGTGCTTTTTAATACGAACCGATTTATAACTTCTGGAATGGGTTAAGCGATAGAGGCGCAGGCATCAAGGAATGGGGACTTGGTCATCAGAGTGTTTTCCTCGGCAAGCTTCTTAGCCTCACTGGGTCCCAGTGTTTTCCTCTGTGACGTACAGAGGGGCTGGGTTTGGGGCCTGAAGCTCAGGAGAAAGGAAGGGATAATCAGAGTTCTGCCTCTGTGGTCTCTTTGGGTCGTCAGATGCATGTCCCCCTGAGGCCGCCCTCTGTGTGTGGTACCATGACGGCCCTTCCTGAGTCCACTTCACTCCCCTCCCGCCTGCTGGGAGAAACTCGGGGCCTTGAGCCTGGTCATCTGTGAAATGGGAATATCAGTACTTCCTCATTTCTCTGAGGGTTTGATGAAGTAAGGGCACGCAAGTGCATAAGAGATGCTAGTTCTTCCTTCTTTCTGGGTTTGTTAACTAAAGTTAATATTTGGTTTTGTCTCATCCTACCATTGTGTCAAGTTAACACAAGAATGCTGGGGTAGAATGGAATCGCCTAGTAACCTGTGACTAGTTGAGAATATAGATACTGTATGGTAGGATGTATGTCTGTGCCTCCCCTATTTTAACCTTTCTGAAATCAGAATGAGCCCCAAATCTGTGGCATCTTAGATTCAGTGACGGCACTGGATTTCAACCCTGGAGCTGCCCAGAGATGGGACTAACTAATATGTGAGGGCTCACTTACCTATCCAAGCTTGCATAGCTACACACTCAGGATGTGAGTTAGGCCAGGAAGTGACAGTGTGAGTCTGAGGATTATGTTTTGGGAAGATTATATGATACAAGGTAACTAAGCAAATGAAGGCCTTTGATGGACTGAAGGTACTAACCGCATTTTTTTTCTCCCTTTCCTCCCTCTCTCTGTCTCTCTCTGCTGTGTGTGTGTGTGACCTGATCTGTCTCCTCCATCCTCTCATGTCATGTCTGGTTTCTACCCGGATGCCGCCGCCGCCGCCGCCGCCACCACCACCTTCTCTTTCTCTCTCCCTCCTCTTCCTCTCAACAACCACCTCCAACAGCAGCAGCAGTTGCAAGCCCAGCATCTTTCTCACGGCCACGGACCCCCCGTGCCCCTCACCCCTCACCCCTCGGGACTCCAGCCTCCCGGCATCCCGCCCCTCGGCGGCAGCGCCGGCCTCCTGGCGCTGTCCAGTGCCCTGAGTGGCCAGTCCCACTTGGCCATGAAAGATGACAAGAAGCACCACGATGCAGAGCACCACAGAGGTGAGAGGCCGGGCAAGCCAGATTAGGACCTTGTCCTAGCGCTCTTACAGTGCTGCCAACTTTGTGCACCGCTAAAGAAAGCCCCAACCCATACAGAGCGCAAACAATGAGCTAAGAGGAACTGTCTGTCGCAAAGCTTGGCCACTGAAACACAGTTCAGCCTGGAGGTTTTCAGGCTTTAACGTGGGCATCTGTAGATTTCTCCATCTCTTTAGATGGCAGGCATCTTGACATCTTGGCAACTGCCTCGTTAATGCCAGTGGCCTGTACCATATTATGGAAAACTGTTAACTGCTTAATTGGGTAATTTTCAAAGAAAGTAATGTTGTTAAATGGGGCGAAATAAGAAGTTAAATTTGAAAGTGAATGTGTTCAAATGAAAGGTTTGATAATTGCATCTGTTACTACTTAGCTTCATAGGCTTTAATTCTAGTATGCATTAAATATTGGGCAAAATTGCACTTGACTAATTTTTTGGAAAAAAAAAAGAGTAATTTATTCTGTCAAGAAATTTTTAAAAAAATAGGCTTTTGTGTATGGTTAAACTGTAAATCTTATGTTTACAAAATACTGTAATTTTCAGGAAATCACTGTATTAGGAATGTGCAATGACTTATATAAATAAAAGCCATTTTTAAAACTGTTTGGGGCTTGTGTTCTAATTATTCCCCCCTTTTTTTTTATTTCTGTCCTTGCCTCTGTGTCTGAACGGGCATGTCTGTGCGTTTCTTGGTAACCTCGGGAGCAGACAGAGAACCAGGCACGGTAAGTACCCCGACTCGATGCGCCTGCTGCTCATAGAAGCACGTTCCTCCCCACACCCCACGGGGCGCCCAGCGCCTTACTGTCCACAGAGGCACAGACACGTGTGTCCTGCCCTATCTCTCTCAGCAACTTGTTTTCCTTTTTTTAAAAAGTATGTCTGTTCTCTCCCCCACCCCCCCATCTTCTGTATAAAACTTTTATCGGATGAGAGGGAGGCAAAGCTGCTTGCTAAGATTACTCACTTGAAAATACACTTTGATCCTTACGTGCCCCATTTTAAAAATATGTTTATCATTGCACTTCGAGTCCAGGTTTACTTCTAATGTAAGAGAGTATTCATTTTTTTCTTAAGTCAGTTCTACAGGCAAGAGGTCATAATCCATATGTGAAATTGGTTAGTGTTGTGTTATTTCTACCTAAACCATCATTATCCTCGCGAATGCATCTTAGTTGCTCGGTTTCTATATCTAGTTTTCTTTTCATAATCGTCCTTGGAGTGTGAACTTGAACTTTATTTTAGTCCAGAGAACTGAGTCTTTTGAGTCATCTCTCAAAACCAAGAAGATTGAGTTCACCGACCTCTGTGCTTGTTGAGTTCATTTTTTCACAAGCCTAAATCTCAGTGTATATACTGAGTTTCCTGCATAATTATTATAGAAAACTCATGGTAATGGTTGTATAAAATGGAGAAACCCACTTTGTGTAACGTTTGGTCTGTTCACGTATCTGCCAGTTACTTCTGGGGCTGCCCGTCTCTAGAACTCACCTCTCATGTTGTGGAGCAAGGAGTGAGAACCTGGCCCCTCTTCAGTTAAGATAACCTATTGTTTTTGCCCCTTCCCTCCTTCCTTTTTTCTTTCTGAACATGGCAGAATTTGGACGATCTTCAATCTAAATATGGTTTAAAAATGGGATACTGAACTTTTAAATCACTCTGATACTTTCTTATGAGTTTGCGGGGAAGATACGTAATTTTTTTCAGTTTGAAAAGTTTAGCTTCCCCACTCCCTCCACCTTCTGTGTAGAATAGTAACAGGTTTTAAAATTTTCTTTGGGATTGAGCTTGGTATACTGTTATGTGTCAGAGTATATGAGGGGAGTAGATAATGGTGAAAGGATGAGGTAGTGGTTTTGAAATTCTCGTTCTGTAAGTTTTCTTTGGAAACTGTTAGGAAGAAAAAAGAAGGGAGAAAAAATTAGAGCTAGAGAATAAAATCACCTGCTCCCAAAGTACAGATCTAAGTAAACTGATTTATGGAGCAACTAACTATTGATTTATGGGAAAGTTGTACCCTTAAAGAAGTACAAAATAGTTCTTCAATTTCAGGCAGCTGTGGATTGGTTTTCAGTCCAGTTAGTTTAGTTATTAGTAAGTCTGTATTGAGTTAGCAGTCAGCGAACTTTCAAGTCCAAATGTGGTAGATACATTGCATAAACCAATCTATAAAATAATATAAAATACATGGTTACTTAATGTGTTATTTGCATGTCTCCTTTTTTACACCAAACTTGTCAAGTCTAATTATAATTTCAACATTTTCAGAAGTATATATACTGAGTGTCCTGCATAATTATTATAGAAAACTCATGGTAATGATTGTATAAAATGGAAAAACTAGACTAATTTGTAACCAAAACATTTAATTCAGTCTGTAGAGAGAAATTAAATTGTTCACTGTCCATATAAGTGGGATTTTGCTGCAGTTATGTAAAATTAACTAACTCTCTTCAAACTTTATGTAAAATTAAATATGAGACTCAGTGGGTAATGAGATGATGTGTACTATTAACACCTAAAATATTATAGTACTTAACTATTTAATAAAGTGGTTGAATTATGAAGTTGAATTTTACTTGGCAGATAAAGTCGTTTGATTATACAGGTGTTTTGTTTAGTTTTTTCACACAATGAGGGCTTAAGAGCGGTGGCTATCTAGGGCAATGATTTTCACACCTTGTGGTCTCAGAACCTTCATATCCTTAAGGTAATTAATTGATGACCCCAGAGAACTTTTGTTTATGTATGTCATATATTTTGAAAAGTCTCTGGGTTAGAAATAAAACAGATTTTTAAATTACTTAAACAGATAAAGAGTTACTTAATTGTGTTAAATAACATTTTTAGTGAAAAATAACTAATTTCCAAAATAAAAAATCAGAGTGGGAAGAGTGGCTTTGTTTTTTGCACGTTTGTAAATGTCTTTAACGCCCGGCTTAAAAGAGGGGAGCTGAATTCTTGTCAATTTTTTGCATTCTGTTTGTTGCCATATATTGTTTTGGTTTAAGTATTAAAATCTGCCCACAAAGAGACACCCTTGAGGTCCTTGGACCAAACTCTTGAGCACCTCTGCCATAAATAAGACCAAGGAGTTCTGAGAAATTGTAGGCTGGCATATAGTTTTATTTTCTTCCTGCTCTTCTTTCTATGTTGAAGAGACATTTTTTATATCCAGTGCAAAAATCAAGGACTTACAATAGATCCAGAGGGAACTGTTGAGTGTGTACGTATTGTTATCTCTTGAGTCTAAACTATGTCGTTCGCTAGTAGAAGGTTTTATGGTGGGAAAACAAATGAACTACAATGTAACCTGTTTTATGTAAAATCCAGGAAAGAAGAGAGCTAAGAGCAGAGTGCACACCATTTTTAAGTTTCTCATTTCTGAAAGGGATGAGTGGTGAAGCTGGTAACTTAAGAGAGGTGTGATTTGCTGTTTAGCTATTGATCTTAAATTAAGACTTGACTACTGTTTTTCTAATTCACAAACCTTTTTTTATTTTAACGTAAGCCTATTTATCAGTGCTACTACTGAGCAAAGAAATGACCTGACGAAAGCCTTTATTTCTTCAAGAGTAATAAAATTTAGATAATTCAAGTTAATTTAAAGGTGAATTGCACCAAGTTCGTTTTGGCTGAAGAGAATCTCCTTTAAATTAAGTCTGCCTTGAAAGACCTGGAGTTAGAGAATTGACACAGAGCTGTATGGCTTTTAAGAAAATGTGATAGAATGTTTATTTAAGTACTCGTTCATTTAACAAATATTTATCGACCATTTACTATGTGCCAGGCACTGGCTCAAGCACTGCGTATATGTGCTGCCATTTTACAGTGATGGCTTGTGATGTCAGAGTCAGATTCTGTGTTGAATGAAAAGCACTGAAATACCTCACTCGTGTGATCATTATTTGGAACATCTAGAAGGAGGAGGAGACTTGAGCGGGCTGTCTGGGAGAGACTCTAGAATGGGACTGTCTGTAAACTTAGGCAGGTTCCTGAGTGGACTTCAGAAGGCCCTTGAACACCGCTAAGATTGTATGTACAGTACTGTGGGTGAGTGTTCTTACGTAATGCTGGGAAAAGATCGTAACTCATTAAATTCTCCATGGGAGTTCCTGGCTCAGAAACGTCTCAAGCACTTTTCACCTGCTTTAGTTCAGAGTAGTGCATCACTATCACTTTCTTCGTAGGTGGTACTAGTGGTAAAGAACCCACTTGCAGGAGACATAAGAGATCCAGTTCAGTCCCTGGGTCCAGAAGATCCCCTGGAGGAGGGCACGGCAACCCACTCCAGTATCCTTGCCTGAAGAATCCCATGGACAGAGGAACCTGGCAGGCTACAGTCCATGGGGTCACAAAGAGCTGGACCTGACAGAAGTGACTTAGCACACATCATTTTCTCGGACACAAAGCCCAAGGAGGCTGGGTGTTTTTTGGTTCACAGAGATCATCTTTCTGAGGGACCCCATCACCACTCCCGTAACTGACTTCTACAGTCACCATGTTCACATTTAGGACTTTTAAATAAGTGATTATGACAACCATCACTTGATGTTAGGGTGGTATCTTTATTTTTTTCTTCTCTAGCTGTTGTACTTGACTAGTTAATTGGCAGAGGTAGGACCAGATCCTAACTCTGGACCACCGGTCCCTTCCCTTTTTCTGAAATGACACTGTGCAGAATAGAGGGCAAGGAGGGAATAAGCTATGAGGCTTGCTCTGGGAAGTACTTCACTCTTGGCCTGTTTCTGAGATTTTAGCTTTTGAAAGTCACCTTGTCTCCTCATGCTTTTTATGACCATGGCGGGGGGCAGGGGGGGAGCAGTGATAGAAAGAAGGCAGGTTTGGGACTAGGGCGGACCCAGTGGGATTCTGGCTGCGCAGGCGGCATTCCTCCTGCTTTTGGATCTTCTTGCCTCATGAGTAAGATGGCGATGGTGGCTATCTGCAGGGTGCGGGTTTAGGACCCACAGATGGGAAGTCATCAGCCATACCTTTGCAGGCCTTTAGGAAGGTCCTCCCTGCATCTACCTGCAGGGGAGCCAGACAACAGGAAACGTGTCGTTGGCCACCCTCAACATAGTTACTTGTGGTTTCCTTTCCTTTTCACACAATGTGTGAGGCTTCTGTGGCGATGGGGGCCCGCTTGACTGAGTGGCTGGTCCTGATGTTGTTCTATGCGTCAGCATCACGAAACACACCCCAGTCTCTTAGGAACTTGATCAGTCGAATGATGCTGGAATTCATCAAAGGTAAATGGGGGCTCAGAGGAGGTGTTTTCACCTAAACATTGATGACTTTATCTTGGCCTCTGTCAAGGAATTGTGTGGAGATAAAGGATAAAACTAAGAAGAATTACCTGAAATCTATATTTAAGGCACAGTAGGAAACACTTAAATTTTCTGAGGCACTGGCCTCAGTAGATTTTTCCTTTGGTAGCACTTAAAACTCTGTACTTAAAAAAAAATTAAATAGATCCTGTGGGAAAACCAGCATCACTGCCGTGAGAAGGTTGAACCCCCAAGGGAAGGAGGACCCTGGCAGTTTCTTGCTGTTGGGAATGACGTGTTCCTGTGCCAGGTGAGGTGTCCGCTCATCATTTTCAACATCCCCTCCTTATCATAGCACAGCAGACTGCATCTTTCCAATGAGGAGAGATGAGTGTAAGTGCCGTTGGATATCAGATACCACAGTCCAGTCCTGACCCATTGCTTTCTAGTTTCAG